ATTAAACTCTACTGCGTATAGGTCTTGTGCTGTGGTCAACAGCTTGCTTACCGATTTATACTTAGATGTCAAGAACAGCAGGCTCAAGGCCTCTTTATATGTAGCAGCTGTACGTTAACCTCCAAATGCATATACTTGACAACAGGACACACTACATGAAGCCATTATGCGGTTCAGTTTACAACACTGAGAAAAGCAACTTAAGAAGATTTGTAAGACCTCTAGTACCTATCCTGCTAAGAGAGCCATGAACTCATTTGCAAATCACTGAGATTATTCTGTGGATAATAAACTATTATGAAAATAATGAGAATTGTAAAAGTTATTCTGTACCTGACAGTTGCCCTGCTATCATCTCATAGTTTATTTTAAAACCTTAATAAAAAAAAAAAAACTCAGGGAGAAACTTCTAACTGCCTTTGAACTGCATCCTTATTTCTTGAATATTGAACCTTGCTGAAACTTTAAGGACTAAAAGAAATAGGAAGTTCATGCACTGTTCAAAAGAGAATCTTGTACTACACTGTAAATTGCTAGGAAAAACGGGATGTGAGTAAAACCTCAAGAAAAAAAAAATCAAAGGCCTCATTTTCCACATCCTCTCATGTGGAACTGTCTGCCTCGAAATAGGTTATACTAAAGTCTAAACCAACAGCTATCGTTCTCGCAGAAAGGTATCCTGAGTGCCAAGTCACACCTTTATGAGCCAACACTGCCTCCTATGTTCTGTTAGGAGAACACAGGCTGTTATTACTCCACATTCTCAGAAAAACTTTATAATTTCTTTACAATTTGTAATTCAACATTTAGAAGCATTAAGTCTGGTATCAAAAATGTAGTCAGAATGCTAGCTTAAAAACAAAAAGGATTGAAACATCTGCTGGGTTTTAAAGTTAAACAATGTGCTTAGGAGCCTGATGGGCTAAACCTCACTCAAGAGCAGACTTTCTCAATCGTTCTCAGAAACAGGCACTTAAATTTTAACCAAGCCCTCTTATAAATACCTAAATAAAAAAAATTGCATCGCCCTTCATGTTCCTTTGTATCTTGCACCTTAATACATTTGGAAACTTCTCCTTGGCCCAGTGGGAGTTGTTTCACCTGCTCCGTTAACCTGGTAGATATTTCTTACCTACTAAATGTGGCATAGATGGTCCCCTCACTCTGTTTCCTGGGCTTAGGCAGAGTTGAGTGGCTACTTTTAGACTCTTCACTTCACCTGTCTAACCAGCTTCTCAAAAAGCTTTCAGGAATTAACTTCTGGAAGGAACAGGTCCATAGCACCAGCTGGTCCAATAAAATACTGAGAGTCAATTTACAACACTTAAGTGCACATCAGAAAACAGCCATTCTTGCACGTGACTTATACTGCCTCTCTATAATAAAGCAACGGGCAGTCCCTGCAAAAGATGTTCTCTGCATTAGGTTGCTTTTCAACAAGGTTGAACTTACAGGACTTCTTATTTCAGCTCTATGGTTATGATTGTTAAACAACTGGAAAAGTAAGAAGAGTTTAGCATTCAAAATCCCAATAGTAGCGTCTGCAGATTTAAAACATCCAGTATTGTCCTGTAGAACAGGAACAACCTCCGAAGTTTGACAAAATTTCCAAGGTTTATTAACAAGCATGATGTAAGAACAAGCTTATCTTACAATTGAAAGGGCATTATCATATCATTAGAACTATCACTAATATTTATACCAGTCTCAAGGTGGGCAATCGTGTCTTAACAAAATGTAGTCCACACATTCTAACAATAAGGAGGACAACTGTGTCCTAAACCAATACACTCAGCAGGGCTTTAAAAGGATTTTTGTTCAAAAGAGGAGTTTTAATCACTTAACACAAATCCTAATTAGAAAAAAAAAATCCCTTTATCGCATACCCACAACACTAAGTTTTTGAAAGCCTACATTAAAACCGAAAAGTTAAGGATCACACCACCCACAAAGTTTTTTGTGAACTCAGCTAAGTAAAATACAATGCTTACTTTGAAGCAGAAACAACATTGACTACATTAACGACTGCATTGCTCTGAAGTCTGTTAATTTATACAAAATTAACAAGGAGGAAAGCTAACTCATTATTCTGAACTTTTCAACCAAACAAAGTGTCAACATCATGAGAGAATCCAAACATTTAAAACAGTCAAAGCTTATCTAGTCATGCTCAGTATATTTGCATTAAGGCCGTATTTTTTTAATGGTTTGTATTGAAGTATTGCGTAAGTTTTCTCTGAACTTGAGACAGTTGAGAATTACAGCAAGGGCAGTTCCCTGACCTGAACAATGTATAGATCAATATCAGATAAGCAGATAGGAAATGGGAGAGGAAGGAAGAGGCAAAGAAAGTGGTTTGCCTTAAGTCCCATATCACTGGCAAAGCTGGATTAAGAAACAGATCTTCAAATTGCCATTGCAAAGTCTTTTCCATATTATGACCCATGAAGTGGATTTTTAAGTTAATACAACTGAACAGGAAACAAAACAAAACAAAAAGGGTATACAACACGTCAGCTGTTACTTATGCAGGGCAAGAAACTTTTAGACCATACTGAGTATTAATGAAAGAAGTAGAAATACAGTGCCTTTATCCTCTCTCTGAGTAGCCCTTCCAAGGGATTTGGATGCATTATGTATCCAATTTTCATTTGTTCAGCACTTCAGGTTCTTATGCCAGCTACATTTTTAATTTCTGCTTGCTAAGGACTAGGGAACTGGCAGCTAATCAATAGTGTAATTAAGGAAGACCACTGTTCTGATTCAGCAATAATCATTTCACTGTTTGGGTGGGGACACTGTACAAATAACTTAGCAATTTAGAAATACCATGCACAGACTGCACAATAATGTGCTTTAATTAATTAATAAGTACAACATGTTCATAAAATATAAGATACATAGAGACCAAAGTGATTTCACACATAACACATGTCCCCCCAGTCCTAAGTACAAATTCCATTCAAATTCATGGAAGCCACAAGGCTGCACTGCCCATATTAACTCTACCTTACCAAAACAACAAAGCCTGTTCTGACAAAAAAAAAAAAAACAAACACCATACCCCAAATTTATACCAACATTAGATTAGACTTTATAGGAAAGGAAATAAATACAACACTTCTCAAAGGAAACTTAACCTTTAGATTAGGTGACGATCCCACAATCATGTCACAAGGTCTGCTTATTTACCACCCACTAGCTAAGCTGTGCTATCTGGCAGCGCATGCAGTCTTATCACACTGGAAAAGAGTCTAAATGGATTGGACTACTGCAATTTGAGGTGTTGTCTTTCTGCTAGAGGTTTTTCTCCCACAGCAGGATCAGTAGAAGAGAGCGTGCCTGCTACAGGCTGCTCAGCCACTACCATTCTTAGTCTGGTGTGAACTTAAGGTGAAATTACTGATGGTTCAAGTTAACACCCATGCTGTGAAATCTCACAACATTGGAGCTAGAATGCATTCATTGCCTCTACCACTAAGTCAGCACTGTCTGCAAAGAGCAAGGTGAATAGCTGAGGCACTAACTTTACCTGATAGGAGATAAAACCTGGCAGAAAATGCACCGATTTCAGTCTCAGTGAAGGTAGTCAAACCAACTCACTCTACCATACAAATGGCATAAACTTAGAGCACAAACACACACAGAGTTGCCACATCTTCTAAATCAAGTGGTGCTTGCTAAACACTTGATTGTGTCCCTCATTAGAAAGTGGTAAACCAAACAGGAATTCTCCAAGGAGCTCAGGGTACTTTTTGCTGAACCTCTTTATACATGAGGATAGTAGAATCCAAAAACTGTATTATTTAATATTCACAAAGGGATGATACAAAGTGTACAGTTCTTTTCAGACGCAAAAGACTCAGTCCTGAAAGCAGTTACAACAAAGGACACATTAAATTTTAGTGCTCAACCCTCTGAGCAAACCGTCCTCAAGACACCTGGCCAAGTCACCTAGCCTCCCATTAGGGGAAACCATGAAAAAAAGCTCTTTGGTAAGGCACCAAAGTCTTCTGAGAATCACTATTCACTCACCTCTGAAATGTAAACTATAGATTTCTCATCTCCCCTATCCCTTTCATTCTCTATGAACACCGAATCATGAATTCTCAACGCTCACAATTGTTTCCCTAGTCCAACATACTTTTCAAACTGTCTTCTCACTCCAACATCTTCTCCCCTCCTTCTCATTCTCTCCCCCTGCACCTCATAATGTTGTACCTTAGGCATAATGTAAAACCTAGCATCAGAATTGGACTGATAGCGTTGCTAACACTCCATAAATGCAGAGATAAGGATGAGGATGTTGCTACCTATCATTTTTTTAATGTACCAACAAACTGGGGGATAAGACTGTTATTAGAGTTGCAGGAATAAAAAAAAGAAGGCAGTTGCACAGCATTAATGCAACTGGTTTCACATTTTAGACAAGACAATTCTTACCGGGTCATAAGCTACTTAACACGGGGATATTATGCTTGGTAACCCTCTATAAAGCACCTAGAACAAGTGCCCTGCATTTGATTGAGTCTCCTAAATACTGCAGTAATAGAAATAAACATTGAATAAGCAATCTCTCGGATTCCAAGACATAAATTGCCCTTTTTCTTTGAAATTCTGCTTTTCTGAAAAAAATAATAATAATAGTAACAAGAACATTAAATTCCAATAATTTTATTTTCTTCCAGAAAAAGGCTGCATTTAAGAAATGAGTGACATGAATCAGACACAGGTACTACAGGAGGAAACTGTTCCTATACAATTAAGTACACTCTTCATGTGAGCAGCCAAAATAAACACCAAGCACATCATATTCGCAATTTTATCTGTAACTATTATCCCTAGTCACAGTTCCTGGAGTGCATTTGTTCAAGAGCTACAAGAACTTAGGTTCAGAAGGAGCTCTAGGAATACGTTAGCAGAAGTCTCAGGCATCTTCCAGGCAGCCACGCAAACTTGAACAGCTTTAAAATTTGAAAGCGACATGGTAAAATCATGCTGTATTACTATGACAAGTGGCAACAATAAGGTAGGTAGCAACAAGTAAATGCCAACAGGGGTGGGAAGGCAAAAAGAAACCCCAAGATTAAAACATCACTTGCTCTGGAAAGCAACTCAAAAATGGTCTTAGTCCTTAGTGTCATTTCACATGTACTACTTTAATATAATGTCTTCCTGTTTTGCTTTTCACTCACTTGCATATTAAAATCGAGATAATTAATATAAGACTAAAATGGAGGCTGCTCCTCTCTTGTCAACTGAAACAAGGTGAACAATTCTGGTTTACCAGGAAAGGCTCACTCACGGTAAGTAACAGAAGATAATTTGCCTCGCAATTCTCTGCACTAAATTGGACCTGGCATTTATTTTTGCACGGTGGAGGGAGACAAAGAAGAAGGAGGGAAGGGGTCGGGGGAGCTTCAAAGAACAACTAACTTATTACTGTACCTGAACCACTTTTAAACATGAATATGTACTTTCATATCAGATATTTATCATTACTGTACTGTAAAGAGTAAGATCTTTCAAAAGAACTGAAAAGCTACCTTCAGAGGGTTGGGGTTTTTTTGACTGGGTATAAATAAGATTGTCTCCTAGAAATCTACTTACGGTTGAGTGAGGTCACGAGTTATGAAGTCTGAACTCTTGAAGAGGAGGAAGATGTCACTGAGAGCTTTACATTTCAGAGAGCTGTTCATTGCTATCCAGTAGGCATCCTAAACAAAAAAGATTATCCAAAAATGCACCTTTACTAGCAGGAAGAAATGCAAGCTGCAGATCTATCAGCACTAAGTATTATGCAACATTTGAAATAAAATTTAAAAAATAATTTTCTGCGTGTGAGGAAAGCTTCATTAGCTCTTACAAGAGACACAATAGTTATCGCTTTTCTTAGGAATACTCTGTTGAAAGCAGAGCAAATCCATTTAAAAAAAAAACTAAGTTTTTGCCTTACTGCTTCCAGGCACTTTCTGGGAAGGCTTGATTGAACACAAGTTTCTCTTGAGAATATGATACAAAAACATTTAGGTGCACCCATCCTTAAGGTATAGTTAGAGTACCTAAAAATAACTAGAGAGAAGTTTATTGTTTTTTTAAAAAATGTGGGGGTTTTAATCTTTATCCCAGGCAAAGTTTTCAATTTGTATCCTAAATGAGAAGAGTCTGACCATCATACTGTTATCTGTGGCAAGGATACAGGGTTTTATGTAAGAAAGGTAGTGCTGTCTTGTATCAGCCTCACCAAACAGTGCACCATCTAGCTCTAATCCACCAGAACAATGTGCGGTATCATACTTCACTGATATCTTATCACTCCTTCCTTTATCTGAACCACTAGTCTCTTCTACTTTCCAATGCATTAAGATAAAACAAACAAACAAAAAAACGCTTATGTTAACATCTGTTACAAGTTTTGGGAGTCAGCATTCTTACCCTTGGAGCACTCCAGTTAAGTTTAGGAAAAACACTACCACCCAAGGAACTTATTGCTTCTTGAACTTTAGCTGTAAACTCAGGAAATTCTGGTGCCTGAACAAAGAACAACAACAAAGATATCAATTCCAGTAAATTTAATAGTGACGTGTAGCCATCTTCTAAATACCATTAGAAAGACATATTGTAGAAGGAATAAATGTGTCCAAAATCAGGAACCAAGAACCCCACAAAAATAATGTATTTGTAGAAATAAATCACTTAAGAATCAACTCTGACATTCTTTCAATCAGAGCAAATTGAAAATATGTTTCCAGTTCTCACTCTCATTACTAGCAAGATCCCATGAACTTCACGGGAAAACCTGAAACTTTATAAAGTCATCAGGAAAGCTGCAACAGCTGGCAAACATGCAGGTCAAATAACCAGACCTTAAATACACACCTGTTGTTTTATACCTGATGGTAGATTATTGTATACAAATAAGATCCAAGAAGATTTAAAAACAAACAAATAAACTTTCAAAAATAGTTTGTTTGGAATTAAGCAACTCTTTAAAAAATCTAAAATACAAATATTGTAGCATTCTGTCAAAGTATTAAAAGGTAGAAAGATCTTTTCTGTTTTGTAATAGTACTCTAGTTGCATTTAGGAGCACAGTAGGAGAGCAAAAGTAAATAAATCAATTCAGAGGCAATTTGAGTGACAGCTCCTCATTTAAGCTTTAGTTTTACAAAATGTTGTTAGTAAGACTTTAACTAATCAGCTCTTAAATTAGGTCTTAAAGTAGCTCCTTAACAATATATTGCATCAAAATAGAGGACACACTGCAAAGGTATGGGTTGGACTAGAAAAACCTCATCTTGTAAAGAACATTGTCAATATTGTAAACATAAGATAGGAGGAAAAAAAACTCCTCAGGATGCTATAAACGCCACTCTGAATGTGGTGCAATAGAAAAAAAACAGATTGCTAACCTTTAAAATAATATGAAAGGATTTCAGGCATATGTCAAAGATTTTTCATGTATAAGGATTTATAGCAAAAAGTATATAAGAACACTATTTCTGCCTGAATATTTTTAAACTCAACTCAAAGATAACTTCTACGCTAAAGCTAATTGATGTCTCTAAAACAACAAAGCCCTCACAGCCACACAAGCGATGAAAAAGAGTTCATGCATTTTGGCATCTCCTTTCTGCAGCCCCCCCAAATGCAAACACTTAAAAAAACCCCTCTCACATTTTAGCGCAGTGACCTAGACCGAACTTCAAACATTCTGAATCTTTCCTTAGTACGTTACCTAGTCTCCATGGGAAACTACACTTGAAAAACTGAAAAAGCACTTCTCTGATTTTACTTTATTTTTAGAGCTTCAGTCAATTCTAGAAATTGTTCCTACAAGAAGTAAAACTCTTCATCCATTGCATTCTGATACAATCTCCTATTGTTTTGACAGAAGTCAGGGATCATACTATATATGTAATACCAGCACATACTAAGCCTCCCTGGGGAAACGTTACCATCATGTCATTTGATGAATACGAGTGAAGAAACATACACAAGAGGATAGCTCTAAGGCTGCATAAACCAGTCGGATTCTAACATTTCCTAAATTCTGAATGCCTGACTTTGCAACCATCGATATTAATGCACATTTTTTTAAACACAGAATTTTCTATAATTCTATATTCTAATTCTTCTTCAGAATATAGAAGGGGCAAGGGAAACAAGCTCTACCTGATGACTCAGGTGAGTCATCAAATCAGAATAATCACAACCACAGCCCACCTTACTGCTTCCCTGAGCCAAGAAACCAACAGAGAATTATAACCTGGGATTTATCATTAGTAAGATGCGAATGCCCTAGGCTGACAGCGAATCCAGAACAGCAGTCTCCAGCCTGTCCAACTATTCTTTACACATTATGTTCCCTAGTGTCTCCCTGTTCAGCTTCCACATCGCTACTTGATCCATTCTCATCTCTTGCGGTAATTCCAGATGCAGCTCCCCTCCCTTCTGCATTCTACACAGGCTGTTTCTTCACTGTCTTCATCACTGTCAAAGTGGTAACAGGCAACACTTAAAAGCACAGAAGACTATTTCCATTCACTCACTCACTGGCCTCAGAGCAGTCCCTAGTTGTCAGGTAGCGAAAGCATATTTGCCATGGATGGAGTCTTCAAAGCAATCATCTACCAAATTCATGAGATGGCAAAGGGCATATTGTGAAATTGTACTTTTAGAGTCTCTTTCTGTGACCAAATGTAGGTGTATTTTTGTAGGAACTAGCCACAGGCACAAACCATGATCATTATTAACCATTTTCAAAGTTCCAGGTTTGGTGAAAGACAAAGCCCTGCCAGTCTCTGAACAAGAGCCACCTTAGAGGCCAAAACACCCCTCTTCTTCCGCTGGCCCTGCTTTTATTGCTGAGCATGATATTATACAGTACGGATTAAGACGATTTGGGTCAGCTGTCCTTGCTCTGTCCCCTCTCCTTCTCTTGCCTACCCCTAGCCTAGTCAATGGGGAGGGGCATGGGGCAGACTGGGAAAAGAGAAAGCCTTGATGCTATGCAAGCACTGTTCAGCAACAGCTGAAAGTTAACTCCATCCCAGCCAGCCCTAGTAAAACATTAGCTGTAAAGCTGCAATCTATATGCAATACACAATACTTACCTAACTAAACTGAAATCACTTGGCCTATACCCTTCTGATGGGTATCATACCTCTTGACTATGCATTTCCTTATTGTGCTGTACACTATAATGAAACCTGATTCAAATGTCTGATATTATTTCGTTAGCAACATTAACATGAGCTTCGCAAGAGATAAGATGGATACCAAAATCCTTGTTCTGAATAATTTGCAACCTAAGGCATCTACTTTATCAAAGCGTAGATATTTGAACTGAAGCTATTAGTGTGTGCAAAGTTGGCACGTATTAGTTTTAAAAGCTAGGCTACAAATTCTGTGCTAGCATACGCACAACTCAAAGCAGGGCTGTGTTTATATTGCACCTAATCCAATGTGAGCATTTCAACATTATGTTGAACATTAGAGAGCTAATAGGACTGAAGTAATAGTATCAATGGCAGACAAGTGACACAAGTATATTAACTCTGACAATGATAGGGCAACAGCAAGTTTCAAAAAAGGTGTAAACAAAGACCAAGGAAGCGTGGTTCATATCCATCATGATCCTGATTCTAAGCCAGGCACAGTGCAAGGAGAACATAAAGACAAAAAAAAGGGAAAAAAAAAAAAAAAGATGATAGAAAGAAATGTACTCAGGATGAAATAATGGCACAGGTGTAAGAGAAGAGAAGAGCTGTGAAAATTGAGCTGCAGGGGCTTCGTTTCTTCTACATCCAGTCTGATTAAGTAATTGGGAGATATTCAAAGTCATGAAAATGAAAGACAGCTATATTTAGAGCCATACTTCAGTTCGTTTCCTATAGTCTAGCAAGCGTGTGATTGTTGGGGATGAAGAAAAACATTTTATTTTTAGTTAAAAAAAATTAAGCCAGCAAAACTTTTTTAAAGTTACAGACATCTACACTGCCATCTGTCTAGA